AGTGGTTTGACGCACGGCACAGCAATGCAATAGGCAGAACCCCTCCTCCTCATCGTTGAGGCATCTTTTGTCATGAATGTGACAGAGTCCATTGGAGCAGCGTTGGTGTTCAATGTCTTCGTACAAATGGCCAACTCAGTTCGGACGGGGACCAATGACAAACACTGTCTCTGACAGAATGCAGCTGCAACACTGACAACGCTGCTGCACCTACCAAAGACTCTTGACTTAGTATTCGTTTCGGTTTAACGTTAAAAGCCAACATAGCCTCAGCAAGACTATCACACTTGGAAAATTCGGCCTACGCCACCTTTCACCTTTTGCCTACCTACCACCGCCACCCATCTAGTTACCAATCGCCAATCCAGATCCAATCAAACAAAACTCGAACCAAAGTTCAGCTAAACTTGAAATGGCTGATGAAAACCGTTGCCTAGCTTCCAATCAGCACCCATGCTACCATGCACGAACCGCGAATGAATAAGCTTAGAGTCTTCTTCCAGGGTAGTTTCTCAGAATAAATCTTTGCTTCCCCAGGTTCATCTCGGACACTGAAGTTGTAACGGTCTTGAATTCGAGCTCGTCAGCCAACTCACGCCTGGGCCATCATTGTTCTCTTATTGAGACTGTTTTTCGAGAGAGCCTTTCCTACAATGATGCCTCGAGCCTTTAGTCTCCAGCCAAACTGTAGCTTCTTCTGCGGCTGAGGGTTTCCTCATCTCTAGCTGTCCGACTGTACTGACTCTACTGGACATCGATTAGATCATGGTCTATGGCCTACGGTCAATTGTCAATCCTGGCTACACATAAGATTAGTTAGATGCCGCTTTGTCAGTGACTCTGAATACACTGAACATCTTAATCTTACATACAAAGATTTGGCATTGCCAGAGTCACATAATATATGTACCGGTACACGCTCCCGCACATGACTCCGCAATCTTGATCCTTAGCCAGGAGCCAAAGGATCACGAACCACATAATTTACAGTAACATGACACAGACTCTCTCTCGACATGAAAAGCTAAAGGCTAACTTGACTTATCCGATCACCTACTCACTACCGACCAAAATCTTCACTGCCAATGATGAGTGCAGTGATGAATCATTGACTACAGAAGTTGGACTCACGAGTCTAGACAAGATTCACAATGTGGTCCAACTTGCCTTTCAACTCAGTGAGCCCGAGCTTGTCACAATACAAGAAGGGCCAGTCAAAGGTTCGAGGGCGAGCAGACTGGTTGTGCGGACGAGGGTGTGGGGCAATGAACTCGTGCTCGCTCCTAACCAGGTCTCACATATCACAGTATCAGTATCGCCAGTATCGCTGTATCAGTATCGCATCACTTATCATCTCGCGCGTGTTTGCCTTTCGTTTCTCATAATCCTGTCACATGAAAGTGAGTGCCAAAGTATGTTACCCGTTGCAAGCCATGTAAGTGACAAGAGTCGGGGGTCACCGAAAAGTGCTTGAGACAGAGTAACGATAAAGGTCGCAAACCCAAATCTAAAGACTCAACATAAACTCATTTTTTCAGAACAGATGCATAGAATAGAATTTACATACACAATAGGAAAAATATAAGACATCGTCTAGTCATGGCCAAATAGAATACACAGACACAATAATGATTGGACTAGATCTAAGACTGAAGAAGACTCTGGGAGTGGCTTGTTAATCAATCGTGTGGCTCCTTCCATCCACATCATCTAGGCCCAGGAGGGCCGCAACCAGAGAGTCAGGCTCATCTGAAGATGACGTCGAAACAGCGTCCATCGCCAAGGATCAGTGTTTGAGCTTCAAACTTGGAGGCTTTGAGCCCGAACCCTTACAAGGACGAGGCGGATTGGACTGGCCTCAAAGGGCAATGAACCTGATCCCAAATGAGGGGCAGTGAAACCACCTGACAGGGAATGGCCCTTGCTTCGACTATAGCTTGGAGGGGAGGACACAGTCAGGATGTACTGCGCTGGGCCGAGTCTAATCCCAGCATGGTGTTGACTATACCACACGCGGTACAAGGGCGCGCAAGCGCGATCCAGAGATCAACAAATCCGCTTGATCTATGGGGCAGTGGTGCCACTGGCCCATCAATTTCTCAATGGGCAGCGACAGCTACGTTATTGGCGATGTTACAATGCTTGTGGATGGTATATTCTCAGCATATCTTTGCTGGGGCTGTGGCTCAGTATTGGCCCAGTTTCTTTCTGCTAGCACAAGCACTCAGTGGCCACCAAGAAGCTAACTGGACAACTCTCTCACTAGTGGCTCGTATACCTCCACTGCCCATAGTCGGGGGAACTACTTGTATGGTCTGGTCCCCAGCCAAGAGGTTGGATTCCACTCCAAGACCCTGGTTTGTTTGACCGTTTCAAATCCTGCAGTAGTATGTTGTTTGACCGTTTCTAGAAGAAGAAGTAGTAGTAGTAGTCGTAGTGGTAGTAGTAGTAGGAGTAGGGGTAGGAGTGGAGTAGGAGTAGTAGTAGTGGTGGTGGTAGTAGTAGTAGTGGTAGTAGTAGTAGGAGGAGTAGTAGTAGTAGTAATAGTAATAGTGATAGCCATAGCAGTGATAGTAATAGTAATTAGTAATCAGTAATAGTAACAGTATAGTAATAATTTAGTAATTGGTTTCTAGTTTTTTAGAATTAGTTTCCCTAAAAAACAGAGAGCCTTCATTATAGAGGCCAACGCGGCTCCCAAGATATATACATATAATTGTATAATAATTTTGGTTTGTTATGCCCGGTTGTACTGCCTGGATTGATTCCAGGGCTAGAGCCTTCAGCTTTTATCCAGCTATATAGGAGTTTTATTTAGAGAAATTGTATTTTCGAGCAGGGCTGGAATCAGGAAATTTATCCAGGTGATGTTGGAAGAAGAGAAATCCATATTGAGCATGTGACATGAGTCATTTAGGTAACCTAGGCTACTGGAAATGTATCCAGTTGATCTTCGGGAAAGAAACACGTAAAAGTTTCAAACTTTTTGAATCTAGCTGATTCTAACGTCTATAAGTTCTTGCCTTTTGCATTGTAGACATGTAAGTGAAAATAAAAAATGACACTGTTCATTTGGATCATGTTGTGAGGCTGAGAAAAAAAGCTGTTGCGATTTTGGAGATAGAAATGAGTGCAGTCCATTGGTGCTGTAAACGTGCTCATTGACGCAGATGGAACAAAAAAAACGATGATTTGGAGACAATTTTTGCACAGTGTCATTGAAACGCAGCAGTTGCAGTTTGTTCAAACTGTACTTCGCACAGTGTTTGTCCAAGACACCATGGCAGCTGATGCGTCTGATTCTGATTCATGGTTCCTAAATATCCAGATGAGACCTAGGTCACAGGAATCCTATTTGCCTAAATCTGTGTGCCTACCCCACCTGTGCATGTCAACCGGGGATGTTTGTTCATGTGCACAACATGTGAGACAGTGACGTGAAAATACTTATATAGATGATTTGGTGGCTGAGTCCCATTGGGCGTTGCAATGGGGTTGGAGAGAGTTGCCAATGTTTCAAGATCTATGTTGGTCAGGAGATTCAAGAACTGTTCCTGAGATCTTGAACCTTGAATCATGGATTCAAAGTCAAAGGCTATTTTCCCTGAGCTCTTGAACCAATGGCATAGGCTTCAAGAATTTTGCCGACGCATTTAATCTTGAAATTGCTTGGTATGGGATTCATGTTATTTTTGAATCCCAGAATAAAGTGCGTGGCATCACATTTCAATGCAATGTACTACACTGCAAAAAAACAGCTTTTTTCATGATATTACCAATGCTAAAAACCGTGAATCGCTGAAGCGCTCATTGGCCGTGCCGAAAACAAAGGAGCCGTGTAGGTGCCGGAGCTGGAGCTTCTGCGCATATATATATATATACTATATACAGATGTTTGCTTCTTGATTTAGGTGTGCCGTGGAACAATACCAAAATGTTTTATAGCAGAGGTATTCTGATTCTGTCTAAAGATCGGGCTGATGTAAAATACGTGGAAAAGGCATATGCCAAGCACACACGTGTTTTTCTTGACACATGTCTTCATGTTGACACATGTCTTCATGGGTAAAATGGATTGCTCAAGTTCCTTTGAGTTCGAAGTTGGACTGCGAATTCCAATAGCGCGCGGATCCAACGTTAACTTCCACGGGCTTTCGTTTGCTTCTTCTCAGGTGCGAGGTTGCTAGTGGCAGGTCAGATATTATTAACTATAGGATTAATAGGATTTTCTTTTAAGGGTTTGTTGGGTGCAAGGGAGGTAAAAAACTCCCAAACTGGACCCGCCTGGTCAAGCAAACAGCGGCACATAACGGGCAATATATTGCATTTAGTGTTTGTCGGCCAATGCATTTGGTTTCACTTCATGGGGTCCGCACAAACGTATGAACACATAATTTCTTTTTAGAAGAACGAATGCTCGTTCATTCCGCTGTTTAATACCTATGTAATGCATTTCTTCTAGATTTTGCTGTCTTGCAATATGTTTCGCACACTGCAAACAGTTGAAATAACCTTGCTGTAGGACGCCTGAACAGTTGCCAGAATCCTTTATGGAAGGATGTTCATAGGTTGTTCATCAACTCTCGAAGGGCCTGCTCCTGCACAGTTCACCTGGGGTGCACAACAAACTTCTGGAAGAATGAGTTGCCATTATTGGCTTGAAGGTTTGGATGACCCGTCCTGAAAACAAACACCATTTCGGGCTTGTAAGATTAAACCAAGTGTTAAACAATGTTCCACACAGGTTTTTGATGAAAATGGTGAACATGGTTTCCACCAAGGCCAATTTAACTTTGTGGGGGGAATGTCTCTTGCAGAGAAACAAGAATGCATACGAGGCAAACATGATACGAAGGGAGGGGTTAGGTTTACCAAAAGAAACACATTCATGATACAAGATGACGTGTAGACACACTTGGAACCGCATGCCAAACTATAGTATCTCTTGACTCCCTACCGAATCGTATTGAATCATTTTAAATTGTTGTGCATCTCGCGAGGCTGAACAAGCACCTCGCAGGGCCAAGGGTGAGGCAGACATGAGAACGGTTTGCCAAATGCAAAACCAATATTTGGATGGATAAAGGCTCTAGAGTTTTGAAATGGCGTTTTTTCAAACCTCCGAGGTGCAGTTTCATTGGCTTTCTTCTATTGGGCAACCTCATGGGGTCGAAGAAAGGGGTGGCGGATGCATGAGAATTGGACTGAACTTTATTCAGCCGATTGGCATAAAAGTTGTGACCCTGGAAAGGTTTTTGATGACATGAGTGCATGCCAAATTCATCTATCTATACCGCTTTTTTCAATATATTTTTATCGGACTTTGATTGTCGATCGGAAGCTGGTCGCGGACATGTTCCGACAGGGTGTTGTCACTCGTTTTGGTTGGGCGCGCGCCTCTCTTGGAGCCTTTCGCACTCCACAGCCAGGTCGTTCGGTACAAAGAGTTACAAAGCAAGTACTGAAATCATTTGTAATCGCATGGTGTCAGCACTTGCGGTTAGTACGAGCTTGCTTGATCTCGTTTGGGTTGACATCCGGCGAGCACCGGGTTTTGCAATCTGAGACTCTGGGAGTGTCCTTGGCCAAACAATGGGTTAGGGCGCCTTTGGACATCGTGCTGGTGTCACACACTGCACTGTACGGTCACTATTCAATATACTGTAGATCTTTTGGCTGGGCTGATGGCAACTTTGAAGCACTTGTGGTATTGTGATATTTCTTCTCTGCTGCCGCGTGAGTAGCAACCGTTGCGTCCTCCGCACGTCAGGCACCACAGAAGCAGAAGGAGGACGGAATCGATTCACGTGTCGTGGGGGCATAGAATGTTACTTGCAACTTGCAACTTGCAACACATCTACATGTTGGGATATGTTGTGTGTTATTGAGTGCAGGCAGCGCAAAGAAATTAATTGGAGGTACCTACTCTTTTTTTAAAATTAATTTCTGAAATCCAACCCTTTTTTCAAGAGGTGAGCTGAACATGATGAAAATTCATTTTGGAAAACTTCAGTTACTGGAGGGGTGCTGGATTGATTTTCATTCTGGCTCTTGGTTGTTTGCGTGCGGTCGCCGGTGCGTGCGTATCGTGGATTCTCTTGGAACCGCGGCCATGGGAGATCAGTTGTTTAATAGTGGGGGGGTCTGCGGTCTGCAACAACTCAACGACCTGCAAATGTATTTCATATATGTTTGTGTTGGACAGGACCATCGATTCAATACACTCATGCATGTGCCTGCCAAGACTATGTAATCTAATGCCGTTGACGTAGGGGTTTTGGCGGAAGGGGCCGCCAGACAGAACAGGACAAACATACAAACGACGACAAACGCAGGGCGAGAAAAAGTGCGAAATTAATGGAAGGGTGTTTCGGATGTGCATGACTCTGCAGTTAATTCTTGGCTTGATGCGGGGGCTATCCAGATTACTGTTGAGAATTGCTACTCTAGGTACTCCTAATCGATATTATCAGAGATTTTCATTAATTAATTGATGTTTCTTCATCAATTAAGTACATTTTTTAATCCACCGGTACTAGTACCCCTAGTTACCCCCCCCTAGTTAAGCGCACGGCGCATGTTATTGACACAGCCAAAAATAACGGAACCTTTGTGCTCGCAGTGCCCCAACTTCCGTCCAAACTGTGCTCGCATGCGAGCCCGGAGACATGGCTCCCCGTGCTTTGCAGGAACTTAAGAATCGGTCGCTAAGCCTGGCTCTTAGTGGTCATTCTTCGTCCACCCTGAGCAGCGCCGCTTGAAACTATGGTCAAGAAACACGACCCGCAAGTAAAGTGCCTTTCGTCTGAAGTCAAAGAACGCGCCAAGCTGCGCAGGTGGTGTGAGTGACAGCCAGGAAGTCACCGTGAAACTGCCTCCATGGGAGGTGGCTTTCACCCACTTCTTTGGCCAAAGAATCAGTGGGTTGGGTTTGCTACTGCCATTTGTGGTATGCCCAGACGTGCCTCGACCGACGTCTCCCACCGACGTCTCCCAAGGCCATGCCTCCAAACGGGCACGGAAAGAGACTCCGGCCTGGGGCCCTACCGATTCCCGCTGTGCGCCGTGCGCGGTGTTCGAATGTGTGAGGCATTGGTGTTTGCCCATTGGCCGAGTCCATCGAACGGGCCTGGTCACGAGTCCTTCAGAAGGTGGTGAAAACAACTGAAGTCTCCAGTCAGCGGTCTCTCACAGAGCTATAGTTGGGAAGGCCATGTTCCTTTCTTCACACAAGGTCCGAAAGGGTGATTGACATGATTCTGTTCGAAGAGCCCGCGCTGTCCGACATTGACCCGATTTGATACATGGCGGTTTAGGTGTATGAGTCGCCTAAAAAACCGGGCCCTTGGTTTTCAGTCCCCTGCGGCTGAGCGAGGGACCCCATCCCAAAAAGAAATATATATAAGTTTAAGGTAAAACCACTCATATGTAATATGTACATATATAGAGCCATCCTGGAGTAGATGTTAGTTTTACTCCTGCAGTGTTTGCAGTACCTAATAGCAAGACTGCAGTATGCTCGAAGAAGTCCATTCTTCCCAGTCCCCCTCCAAAAAAGATCCCGCCCCCGAACAAAAACCATGACCAGCTGAACGCTGAGGCCATTCCCGCCTGAGGGTCGCTCCTCACACTGACGGAGACTTCCGGCGAACAACGAAATCCCGGAACGATCATGTTGTGATTGATGAAGTCAGCTCAAAAGGTCAAGTCAATGCTAAGCCACAACATTTATACAAAGAAACATGGTAGTTTGACATTCTCACCAGACGTATCGTTTCATCTTGTTTTTTCCTTGTAAATTTGGTAGTTATATGGTGTTTACCAATCACCCATGGCTGCGAACCTATCTCATGCCCGGCGGCCCGGCGCTGGTACACCTGGCCCTTCTGATCAGAGAGTTGTAGAAGCAGAGTCCCACTTCAATCCATCTACCAATTAACAGTGCTGCAGGGTGTTGCAGAGGTTAGCATTTGGCGGGCAAGTTGTTTGCTTTCGAACTTTCGAAGATGTTTGTTCGGTTTCAATTGATGCATGTTTCCATTGCTGCTTGTTTTTGTTGGCTTGCGGTGTTTAAACGTGTTTTTAAAGGTTCATGATTGCTGTTATGCATTTCGCTATGTTGCTTCTTGCCTTTCTCCTGACCTGGTTCTTTTGGATCCCGTGGGGGATGTGATGCACAAAGGGAGCTCCTGCCCTTTGTCACGTCAGCTGCTAGTAGCTCTTGTGATGGAAGTGCTTCGTCGGGCTTCAAGGTGCACAAGGTCGACGAAATCCCGTCCTGCTATTCAAACCATTAGCGACAAGAACGTAAAATGAACTCGTTCTCTCTTGCAAGGTTGCCCTCATGGTGCTTCACCACCCCAACGCGGCGGTGAACTTGTTCTCTTGCATAATTGAAGGTTTGCGCGCCCCCCCCCTACTGTAACAACCACAAGCGTTTGCTACAACAACGATGCTGTTGTGAATGTTTTTCCTCTCAATGGCCGGTAGGTCCCTGAAGTGATCAGCAGACATCAGCAGACTTAAGACTGCTTGGGAGACTCATCTCATCATCGTCACCCCTTCCTTTGTGCTGTTCAACCGGAAGTTTTCTCGGACTGCCCAAGCTGCGCGATATCTTCAAGAGGGAGTCGCTGCTCTTTGCTCTCGCCTCGCCCAAACTGTGAGGCCAAATCCGGGTGCACGTGAGACCTCTCTCTCTTTTTTTTTCGAGATTTGATTTCATCATACGTGAACACATGAAAAATACATATAGCCACTATAAGCTGCTGTTGGTTGTTTCTTCATTTTTTTGGGGGTGTTTTCCTGCATCTTCCTGCTAGTTGGCTGGCTTTCCCCCCTCTCCAACCCATGCTTGGTGGACCTCTTTGAATCACTGGCCGCCAAACTAGCGAGGCGGTTCCCAGCGTAGCTGGTTAATCCATGCCTCTAAAGGACCCCCAGTGCCAGGTTCTGGGCATATTCCAAGTGGTCAGCTTGAGCTTCAAGCTGGCTTCAAGCGGTCATGGCCTTGTGGCCATGGGTATTCCAAGTGGTTAGTTTCCCAGTGGTTCAAGCTGGAGCTGCAACATCATCTTGAGGGCATCGCTGTGCATCGCTTGGGGCCGTCAGCGGCCCGGTGAAAGTTGCACTGGTTTCACTGCGCAGTCTGTGGCGTGACACGTTACACACACCGGGAGCATCCGGGAGCGTTCTGTGGTGGACAAGGAACGTTTGGGGCTCCAATGTACTTGATGACACTGATGACATGATATTACTTTGTTCAGCACACGTGCTTGTACGTCTTCCGTCCAGTAAACGTGACCACCGGTAGGAGTGTTCCCTTTGCTCACCAGTACTCCTCACCATGGTGCGGTGCCAATCCGGTGCTGGCACCCGCGGGCGCTCCGCGGGAGGCCAATCCTCGTCTCACCCAACGGCGGGCCTGGCGCCAGAAACGTCGCGAGGATCAGTGTTGCTCGGGGGAGTCTACATGATTACAGTCGTTTCGGAATAGATGGCACGAAGCCCAAGAGGATTTTTAGATGGCGGTCGGATCTATGATCCCATATCCGTATCCCTCTATAAAATGAGGGGGTCGACTCCCCCTATAGTTTGTTTAATTTATATAGGGTATATAAGGGTCATACCCTCGGATTGTGCCACCTACTCTCAAACCACTATAATCCATCCAGGTCCATCCAGGTAGATGTCGGTTTTCCATGGGCTTGGGCCTCGTACCCACTGACCGATTGGAGAGGTATACTGGGAAGGGGTTGTTGGGTTTTTGTGCAGTGAACATGTTGAAGAGGAGGACCAAAGGTCAATGTATGGTCAATGTATATATGATTATTATATGTGCCAGTGCCGTACATTGAAGATTTGGGAAAGAACATGAAAGAACCCTTGGCAAGAAACATGCTCGTCCAACCATCGATGTGTGCAGGCCCATGGTGGACCCAAAGCGCTTTGTTTGACCTGGCCACGTCCATGGGTTCTCACCGACATTTTGCTGGGTGTGTGTGTGCCCCTTGTAATCACAGGGATCCGTTTGGAATGTATGCTTGACTCTTCCTTCTCTTTCTTTTAAGCAGGGGGACACAGCATTTCACTGGGACTGTGTCCAACGAAGCTACCAGTGAAATGGGATATCCAGCTTGGCCAGCTGGATGTATCTGCAACAATTTTTGAGATTTGTAAAGGGCTAATGCACTTGGCAGACAAGAGCGTACGTCGTCATATCGCCCTGATCGCCGCCTTCGGACTTGAGACTTGGGTCCCACTTCCTCTTGAAGACCCCGAGGCCCCAGTGGTTCTTACTTTTAGGAAATGGTACCCTAGGCCGGCGTGTGGCACCGCTTTCAGTTCAGTACACCCTATCCTAAGTGTGTGTGTGTGTGTGTGTGTGTGTGAGCACAGCCAAGCACGGCCTGGAGTTGGAATGGTTTCAACATGTTTCAACCAGTTTCAGGACCTTTTCATGTGCAAATCCTTCGCTATTAGGTTGGAGGCCATCGCTATTGGGTTGGAATCGCTACTAGTAGCAAAGACGCTACTAGTTGAAGGCCTCTGTCCGACTGAGCTCCTTTTCTCGCGGCCCGCCGACCGTCCAGCGCACGCCTCGACGAGCGACCTGGAGGCCGACTGGCTGGTGGGAGATGAAGCGAATCCATCGGGCCCCTGAGAAAACCAGCGGAGCGCGAAAAAACCATAGAAAGAACATCCACTCATGAGTTTGCCGTAAGATGAAGGGATATCCCTGCAAAGAACCGAATTAGGTAGGTTTTGGGGCACGCCGTCCCTTGCTGTACGATGCGGCACGCGGTCTTCCTGACTGCAGGTGGCATGAGCGCCGGGCACGAAACTCAGACAGGGGATAGGTCTATGGGCCCAGAATTGTCAAGATCACAGTGTCACAAGAGGCATGCTATGAACCACATGGATGAAACACGTTAACTATTTTACAAACATGCATTCTTCTTATCCCAAGTACTGAGGATCTGGAATGGTGTGTGCTTAGGTACCCGGCCGGCAGAGGTCTACAGTCTAGAGTCCACAGCCTAGAAATCATTGACTCTATAGACCTTCAAATTCTAGTGCCAGATGTGTGCACCAAGTTCTAGGAGTCCAATAGGTTTCTGCACCAAGTTCTAGAGTCCAGAGTGACAATCATAGGTCTATTGTAGACCCTTTCAAGCTTTTTACACCTTCACCAGACCTGAAGGTGAGCTCTCGACTCACCGGACCCTGGGTGAAGACGTCGTTTCTCTCCACTGGAGTACGAAGAAGTCAACCGGTATTGAACGACATGAACGGACCGCGCATGAGTGTGTAAGATGCTGCCACTGCCATTGAATATATCAAAGAACTAGGGTTCGTTCAGATGACGGACGGTCCCACTCAACTTTCTGTGTATGTTTTCGTTGGTGGTCATGGGGACTTGGAGTAGGGTCTGAAAGAAATTCCCTCCTAGATTTCGTAACTCTTGGAGCTGCCTTAGACTTTGTGTGGGTATACAATTTTAGACCCTGCCCCAGCGTATTGGTCGCTACATGGCCAACCTACAAGAATGCCAAGCCAAACAGATTTTGACCAAAAGGTCTGGGATGTTCCAACGGAGCTGAAATCATTTCCTCACTGGCTGCAAGTTTTGAGAAGGTGTTCTTTCACCTTTATTTTGACCTTACATCAGGTCCAGAGCACCATGGGCATGGGGAGAGAGAGAGAGAGAGACTTAGACTGCTGAAAAGGTGCACAAACATTGAAGCATTGTCTTTGCGAGTTTGTGTATCAATTGTGCATGTTTACTTCTTTTTATTGGGTTCATGTTGGCAACGTAGCTGGGCAGGAACACCATCCTAGACCACGTCCCTTTGGTACCTAGGTTGGTATCAGCTTTAGTGTGCGCAAGAGGGCAGGATATCACTCTGGACCCCAGTTTTCAGGGTCCACTCTGCAGCACCTAGGGTCCCGCGACAGTAGTTGGCAGGATCTTGTAACCCTCTGAGACTGGGAGAGCTCTCTCGTGATTGAAGAGACGATCCGGGTGCGTGGGTGCAGATCATGGGTCCCTTTCCCTGAGTAGCGAATAACAGGGAGTAGGGGATGCCGGATTCTATAGGATGAAATGTAATTAGTACGATAGTACACGTGACAAAAGCTGTTTTTTCTGTTTTTTTCTCCTACTCTCTCCGACATAGCCGAAGTTTCGCAGACTTGGAATGGGGAATGATTCCTTTCTGTCCAGCAGGACACGTTTGGCCGGCGACCATAAACATGAAACAGAGTCAGAATTCAGAATATGTCAGAACAATGCCACTAGATTTCATTTCAGATTATGTCAGAAACATGACTGGTCATGCCATACGGCATGCCATGTACCGGAAGATTCGGACGTCATGCCACAGATCCGTCTGTCGTGCGGATCCGTCTGGACTCCTGAGGCCCCCACCCAGTGGGGCCGCGAGCTCTGGGGACTCAGGCGAGATGAGGAGACGAAAGAGGACATGTAGAGCGAACAATGTAGACTAACATTGTAACATGAGTCTACACTCCCGAGTCAACTCACATAGACCCGGGTCCAATGGCCACCTGGGTCCAAGTGTTTTCCTCTACCAACCAGTGGTTTTCAGGGTCCATGTTAAGGCTTGAGGGGGTTTGTTCGACCATGAACGTAACGTCCCGCAATGTAAGCATCCTCTTGAGACTCTTGCGAAGACCATGTTGAACCCAATTGGAACATCCTCTGCAAGCTTGGGGGGGTTGATCTCTACGTTACACTTGTGAAGACACAAACCAGTCACATGGCATCACAATCTATCATAATATAGTATATAGTAATATATATACATATATATATTATACATATATATATTTAATGCTATATATATCATATCATATATACACGTGTTTCTCAAGCTTGTTTTACTTGAGAAAGCTTGCCCCGGCCACCTGTGTCCATCATCGGTCGTCCGATGCAACTGAAGTGGCCCAAGAGTTGAGCCGAGAAAAGGTACAGGAACAGAGGTTGGCACACAAACAAAGGGAACAGTTGCTTACAGATTTTGTTTGATAGCTCAACGCCTGGTGAGCTTTTCCTGGCACATGATTCTTTCAACGGCAACTTCATGGGATCATAATGCTACTCCTGCTGCTGGTCACATGCGTACCTTGGAAGGGAGCAAGTCTCAAGGTCCTGACATGATTGGAACAAGTACCTCGAGCAGACGGGGGGTCGAGCACTCCAGTGACTCTGGGGATATGCAGGAGTATATGCAGTTGGAAGCTGAGGACTATTCTGTGGCTCAAGCAGTTGCCAGAGACTTCATTGCATGTGTGAGCAGCCAGGGGCCAAGCGCTGGCAGCTGTGCTCCATCACACATCGAATCGGAGAAAAGTAACCCGTCTGCGACACAATTGGCACAGTCAGTGACAAGACAGACGGTAGCAATGCGGGAGTCATTTTCAGCGCAAGTACCAGAGCAAGTCCAGTCAGAAGCTGAATGTTATGTAGTGGCTGAGAAGGTGGCCAAGGATTTCTTTTCGATGGCCATTCAGTCACCCCTCCGTGCAAGTCCTCGATCACAAACAGAATCTGAGAAGACGACTTCGGTTGTGGCACAGCTGATTGCCAGAGAGGCAATCGAGCCAACTGTAGTTCAAAGCCGGAGGGCAGAATGATCAACATTCAGACATCCAATCGCTGATCCACTTCACGTCACTTTACCAAAGGTTTCGTCAAGAATGAACAACATTTGTATAGACATACACATAGGCCCTAGAACTAGAGCACCAGGTGGTCTTCAATCGCTTCTTGAACTCCACTGATGATTCACATGTCATCCAGACATCTCCAGACCTTCGAAAAATGGTTGGACCCTGGTCAGGAGTCCCAGGCAATGCCTCCCAGTCAGCGTTCGGTTCCTGTGGGTCAACGATGGCCAGCCATATGATCGATGGGAATGGCCAGCCAGCAGATGCTGGCTTTGTTTTGGATTCAGGCCAAGCAACAACAAAGAGATTAAAAAAGCATCCCAGCATAGCCGAAACAAGCCGAAACTCGATGCCAATCCAGTCTTGTTGCCGAATCCAAAGCCCAGAATCACGTGGCTGCAGCGAGCGCCTTTTGCGATTCGCCAGTCTGCACGAGCCGAACGAGCTGAACGTCACCCACAGGAAACCAAAACGACAACGACGACTCGTCGTCTGCGCCGTCTACGTGTTTGCCTCTGGGAATCCTAAGCGACCAAAAAACCACCAAGGCGCCAAGCTGTTGGAGTTCTTTTCGTCAGATCTGGATGTTTCCCCCCATGATGTTTGATTCTTTTTGGTGAAGTATATTGGATTTCCTTTCAGATGGTTTGTCATGGTTTTTCACTATTCATTTCATTCATGGTCATTCAGGTTCGCTGGCTTCTTGACTCCTAAGGGGGTCTTGGCACAAATCTTTGATGACTTGCTTGCTCTTTGGCTTTTCTTTGGGCCCGACAGGACATCTCGGATCCTGCACCAAACCCCGCATGGGCCCATGGCCAGTGATCCAACTGCTGACATGTTCCACCAATTCGACTGCCCTGCGACTCCCTGCGGAAGTGGCCCCATGGCCTTGTTGCAGGGAGAGTTTTTAACATGACAACTCTCTATTATCACGTCACAGATGTCTAGTTTTGTGAGTCAGCTTGACCATATCCCTGCACCTCCAGGGCGGCCCGGTGTTTCATCGTCGGCTCCGCCCCACCAACAAGCGGCCAGGTGGGCTCCGCAGGAGGCCTGTGCCGGTCAACTATGCCCGGCAACCCGAGTTTCGTTTCGCAGCGATGAGACCCGCCGAAACGAAACCCGCCGTGGTCTTGGGTGGCACGGCGAAAACGGTCGTCTTGGGTGCGAGGTTTTTTGGATGGAACACATGCAGATGCGAAGACATGCCTTGTTGATGCTGTTGAGGATTCGAATTCTGGAGAAGGGATCCCATCTTCAGCCGATCCGAGACCATCTTCGGCTCTGGATCCCTGGTCCGCCCCTTCCACTCTTGGCCCTCCGGGAACACCGGTGGGGCGAGTCTCGGGCCATGTGTTCCGGTCAGCCGGAGACCAAGACGACCAAGACGACCAAGACCGGCCCCGAGCTGGTGCCCATGACGCCGGGCATCGGGGAGGTGATTACGATGCTACGGTCCGCTGAGGCGAGGCTCCATTTTGGAGCTCCACTGGGCGTACTGGGCCTCGTGCTGATGTTGGCGGGGGGGTGTGTGGGCGCTCACGCGCTTCCTGGTGAACAATAGCTTCATCTTCCTGCTCTTGGCGGGCTTGATGTGTGTGCTGGTGTCTTTGGCCGCAGATCCGAGGGGATTGCTGCGATACGTGCCAGAGGAGATGCAAGACTTCCTCTTCAACAAGAGAGTGTTTGATATCCTCTATGACGTGCTTTGGGTCTTGTTGGGAAGCTTTTCTTTTAATTTGCACTTGCTTAGGTGGCTCGTGGCCTCCCTCAGTCAGATCTTCACTCCTTGTCCAGACTCAGAGGAGGAACAACAATGGGACAGTAGCTTTATGCCACATTCGATGCAACATCCACGACACTCTCCATTCTAGAAGTGCACATCCATGGCTTCATCTGAGGATACGCCCGTGATCAATGCCATCCGGAAGTGGGGCCCAGTTCAGCTCTTGATCTCTCAAGATGGAACATCTCAGGGAGCCATTCGGCATTTGGTCGAGCATACCGAGCCAGAGGCGCGATACACCGCACGCATCGTGCCGTGCATATGCGGGCGCATGTGCGCGCATGTCTTGCGCCCGCCCATATGGTCGCGCGTGTGGTGTCGCTGGAAGCGTTCCAATGATATACCATAGATATCCATCATAGATGAGGGTTGAATTGAAGAAGGCTTTGGGGCAACCAGGGGTGGGCATGACCCAATGTAGAGATGGGGTTTGGATATGTTGACATATTTTGACTAATTAATCATGCCTGCTGATGTGTTGCGCATTGTTGTGCAATTCTTTGTTGTGTGAGCTTTTGAAAGAAGAGAACCAGAACCAGAGGGAGGGAAGGAAATGGAAGGAAAGAAAGAAGGGCTTCATTTGTAATTGGAACTCTGGGCGTTTGAAGATCCTCTGCCACAAAAGTGTTTGTTTGATGTCGGTCGAGCTTTGACTACTGGACTGTCCTCGAGTGTTCTCGGCTGTCTCTGCTTTGGATGCGGCAAGGGGGGCCGTACATGGCATCGGTTCGATCATTTTTGAATTGGACACGCAGGTGCTACGATTTGTACTATGCCGGAGCTTCTTCAGTTTCTTGCCCGGCCCTCTTCGCTTGCTACTTTTGCCTGCCCGAAGTCTTTCAAAGGAGGGCCTAGAGGAGTCCGATACTCCACCCTCTGTGGAGTGGGTGCAGGACTTCCTTCAAGACCGGAATGAGAAGAAGCAGCAAAAGATCAAATATCCTGAGTTCCTTGGCTGCCCAAGAGGGCCAGTTAGACTGGCCGAAGTCTGAACGACATCGCGAGCCTACACAACAGTTGTGTTCACAGATCTTCAGGCATCAATTTTGGGCATATCGTCAACATGTTGATGCATCTTGCTTAAAGGGTGTAATTTATGGTATTGTTATGTATTGTTTGTGTTTGTTTCGGTTGGATCTCAGGTTGTTGCCACTCGTGACCAAGACCATGGGCTTGGACTTTGCGCCCTTCAAGTCCATCGGCAGATCCTTCTTCCGATGGCTCTCTACCTTCACCTTCATTGGAGGTTTGGCCTCGTGCCTAGTGTCTGCAGGGCTTCTTTTTCCTGTGCCCTGGCTGCTTTGGGGGGCATCGTGAGGCTTTTGTTGGAGCCGGCCTGCAGAATCGGACCTTGGGCGCTTCGACCTCCGAATCGATTGCCTCAAAAGGGAGTCCAACTAGGGGTTATCATGTCTGGTTCCTTGGTTATCAAACTTCGGGCGTCGTTCTGTTAAGCAATCTTCTGAAAGTTTTCTCATCCACCAATCAATCAAAATTGTCTGGAACTCTCACTCTCTCCCTCTCTCTCTGTATGTGTATATATGTAATTATACGTTATACGTATACATACGTATGTATATTTGTCAGCTATATATCATATTAAGTGCCATGATCAGTTCAATGACTCCTTCTCCAAGAACCTTCTCCAAGAACCCCACAGAAGAACACTCCGCACGCCGGCGGCTTCCCCTGCTTGACGGATTCCCGAGGATTCCCGAGCGGTGCAGACGGTGACCGGGGGCTTGATCCGTGAAACGAGGACGTCGCGCCTCGCGGCAGCCTTAACCCTTTGCAGCGCTGGCGGGGCCATTGCCGTGTCACTCTTCTTCGAGCGCTGCCATCGGCTCTTCGAGGAAGGTGGAAGGCTTAAGGAGCGAGCGAAACAGACTCGCGCGGAAAGTCCACGGAACCTCCCAAGGTGGTTGTATGATGCGAATGAGGCGTATGTATCATATGGGCGGTTTCCCAGGTTGAGACATCCTGTAATTATGTATAGTATCAGACGATTAGTTATATTTCATTATATTTCTATATTTCTCTGTTGTGCATGTCGAAGTGTGTGCCCGGGAGGAAGCCTTTCAGCCACAAGACTCGACCTAGCCTTTGGATCAGTGAGTCAAATGAGTCATAGCTTTAGTCCTCGGTCGCCTGCTCGAACAGCCTGAGCTTGTAACATTGACCTGACCTGGTACAGTTTTCAGTGGAGGCGGTTGCAGCAGTCTACGTGCGCGAAAAAGCGGTCCTTTTTGGTGTTCATGCTGTTGTTTGCAGTTTAAGTTTAGTGACTAGAGATGCTCATTTAGAGTTTGCAAGTCAAGCGTGTGGTTCAACTAAACTGTATGTTTGAAACAAGGCAACAAAGAATCACTTCCTTACATCGACTTGTTGAGGATTGGCACGTGACCGAAGCAGATGATGGGGAAGGTGAGGAGGAGGCTGGCAGCCAGGGAGCGTGGGAAATCGATGGCGAAATGGTTCTGAGTGACCCGGACAGCAAGAGTAGATTGCTTTACGGCGCTGGTTCATGCTCTTAAACCATTTGCTGGGTCATGCTGGGTCAACGATCTGGGGTGCCATGACCTCTAGCTATGCCATACTATGTGTTTTCTATATCTGTGATAGACATGCAGACATGTATGTTCCTGGCAGAACAAAAGGCGGAGCATATAGAAGGCCGCCATAATGGCGCGATGTTGCTTTCCTTCCAACTGAAATCGAAGAGTGGTCGAATACTTTGTTCGAGAAGATAGTTTTTGCTGGACCAATATCATTTCATAAAAGCACCAGTGAGAAATTACATCGTGTGACACATGGTGCAGAAAGCAGGTTCACGTTCCTTCCTTCCCCAGCTCCACTTCTTGTTACACTTGTTCACATTCTCTTCGTCTCTGCGTGTCGGTTCGCCGTATCCCGCCTTTGGGCTGCGAAGGATGGAGTGGTCTTTCAGGATGAGCAGCCCAGCAAGTTTCAGGTGTGTCCACGCGTCAGACGCTGCCCCCGTCAGACAAGCTTGGTGATGCATTCTGATCAGTCGACCAGATTGATGTATTCATATGTATTCATATTCATGATGATTGAGTTCATTGCATTATGCACCTCAAGATTGTAGATGACCAAATATGATGTAAATATATACATATCACAGATATATATGTAGAATTACGTAAACATATACATACATGCATCTATACAATGCATAAAACATCACAATGCAATACATGCAATACATAATATGCATGATACTATACACTGCAACACCGGTGACAGATCGCAGTTGAGCTCGTGTGCGCCGGGTTCTCCGCGTGGTTTCGCAGTTGCTCGTGAACACTCGTGAGCACTGGTTGCGGTGCGCCAGGAGTACATGAGCATCTTCTTTGACTACATCTTCTGGATCCTTTTAGCCTATTGTGTTTGGCCCTTGGGTGCCGCCATGTTTGTTTTGGCATCGGTCGACATGCGAGCCGTTTTTTCTGTGGGTGAAAAGCAGCAAGCTTGCCTCGTTGCGTTGGGAGTGCCTGTAGATTCCCTCCATCGGTCGATGTTCATGTCTGGCTACAGCTATGACTCCAGGATTTGCCAAGCCTTGCTATCATACTACAACATACTATACTATACATATGCTCACGAGGCAGGTGAACAAGGAATCTTGTTGTTGTTGTTGACAATGTTGTTGTACATCGTTGCATTCTACCTCTCGCTCGCTCTTGTGTGCTCGCTCTCTCGCTCTCTTTTTTTTTTTTCTCGGGTCTTTTCCTCAGCACTCACGATGCCGCGCCACTAGGCAAAAGCGGCAGGGCCAAGGCTCCTTCTCCTTGCAGCCCTTGCAATCCCTTCAAGGGATCAACTGCTCGAACTCGGTCCGAACTTCAGGGTGGTCTGGCCTTTGCCAACGGCGCACGCCCTGGCCAGCCACTGCTGGACTCTGCCATCTTGCTCCCTGCTGTGGCGTTTGCATTTGCGGCATTCAAGCCATGCTCCTCGCCGCCAGACTTCATGCGAGGGGTGCAGCCGAGTTCTGAGCTGCAGGCTGTGCTCATCCTCCTGCCCATATCGGCATTCTGTGGCCACCACCTGATCAAGGACCGCCTTGCTGCTCCGCAGGGGAATCTTTTGCCAGCACTTGACACAACCAAATGTTGTGGCCGTCATCTCCCATTTGTGGCCTGGCTGCTCTGCAACCTTCCCTTCAGTATCCTGGATCAGCTCACCCATGACTTGCTTGAGAGTCTTAGTCACAGCTCCAGGGCACACCGTGGCTTGCTTCCTGTTGATTTCCTCAAAGGTGCTGCACGCCTTGATCCTTTTGCCACAACGTTCACATACCACTCCCTGGCGATGATGTTGCCACTTGTGCTGGCCATCACTGGTGGTTTGTTGCACCAGTTGGCTGAAGAGTGCAACTCGGCCCAGTTTTGGTTTGGGCTGCGGCACTTTGAGTTCATGCTCCACCTTCTCCAACTCACCATGCATGTAGTGGTCCTTGTCCGCCAGGATGGTGCTGATTCTTCGGGCAGCTACTTCATAGATTGCTTGATTCTTCTGGTCAGCTTCTTTCATCTCCGCTTCAAGGCCATTGGGAGCCACCTTCAAGGCCCTTTGCATGGCCACATGCTTTGCCTCACTGTGCTGAACCCAGCCTCGCGAAGCTTTGCCCTCCTCCTTCAGCATCTTTTGCGGCACATGCAGGAGCTGCAACCTCTTCCACTCCTCAGCGGGCAGATTGTACCACAGATCAGGGCCAACTTTGCTTCTTTCTCCTTTCTGAAGGGCCGTCCAACCAGCACGATTGGGAATGTTCAATTGATGCCGACCCAGAACGGCTTGGAGCAAAAGCCAGCAGGCAAACACCCAGCCCCTTGCCTCCGTGCCCTGACCAGGGGCAATCGCTGTGCAAGTGCCAGCAATCTGCCATGATCCCTCTTGCCAGGTGCCAACAGTGATCGCCACCACAAACTGCTTGATGCGTTTATCCTGGCAGGTGGCTTGGACTGCAATGGCCACTCTGTGGGAGGGAGTGAGCCGGACCGGCCATCCCGTGGCCAGAAGGCCAGCGACTTCACACGATTCCACTCCTTCGGCTGCCACAAAGTGCGGCTCCTCGATGAGGCCCCTGGCCCATAACATTTGGTCCTCATTGGCAGTGATGCTGGCTTGCCATTCTGCTGGGAGGTCTTGCTCATGATACTTGCACTGCCACACCAAATGTTTCATACTGACAGGCACCTGACAGATTGGGCACATCACTCTGACTCCAGCATCATGAGTGCGCAGGGAGCCCTGCGTCCATGCATCCAGGGCTGCCCTTTCCGAACCTTTGAGCTTCTTGATGACCCGGTGGTACACCGTCCAATCCGGCCGCTTCATGAGGGGAAAGCAGTGTTCCAACTCTTGGATGCGTCTTGCCCGCTGATGCTGCTGCTCCTGCTGAAGTTTGCGCTGCAAGTACAACCAAGGAAAATCCAGGCTCATCTGATTTGCAGGCAGCAAGCCCTTGGCCGGCCGAATCCAGTCATCCAGCACTGACGCATCCCAACCCATCTCCATGAGGTACACCTGTAAGGCCGCCATGGGTCCCGCAACGATCATCCAGGGGTAGGCCGCAGCTTGGAGGCGTCTCCATGAAATCCTCCAGGCAGACATGAGCTCGCCTCTCTGACTTGGAGGCCACGCCCGAACCAGCTGATGCATAGCCTTGAGCTGCCTCTCCACCGCCGTGTCTTTGGGATCTTGAAGATGGCTGTGCTGGTCAAAAACCACATCAGGGCTTCCTTTCTTCTGCAGGCCCCCATGTCTTGCCAGTTGCTGCCGTAAGGTGCTCATCCTCTGGGGAGCCATGCCTTGTGCTTCAACTCCAAATCCGACTGCAGAGTGGATCGAGGTCTTCCAAACCCTGATTCTCACCGGCCTGGACCGCAGCTTCAAGTGGAGCAATTTGGACTGGCGGCCACTTCCTTTCAGCAGTCGTTTCTGTTGGGTGCCAATTCTCCTCCTCCTACCCCCGCTCGAGTCCAAGCCAAGGTCCTTCAAAAGGTCATGAGCCTTTGGCTGCTGGTCAGTGCGGTGTAGATTGATGGACCGCTTCGCATCAGCCGTTGAGGTCAAGAAGCCCGTTTTACTTGGTGAGAGGTGGAGGCCAACTCCTTCCAGTCCCATCTTGATCTCATCATATCCAGCTAGGGCTTGTTGGCTGACACTATGCGGATCATCACCTGTGAAATCCATGGATATGTCATCCACCCACACGTCCACCGTGACCTTGGGGTACTTCTCCTGGAATGTCTGCAGCACTGGCGCCAGAACCAACTTGGCAACAAGAG